GCTTGTGAACAAAGTATTGTTTTTTATTTATCCTAATTATTAATGTAAAAAATGAAAATCGCGCTTAAATTATTTTCAATTTTCAATAAACCTGTTTTATTCAACACTTTCACATTTTTTTTCTTTTCATTTAGTGAGTGTAGTTTTTTTTGTACTAAAGATTTCATTTTAACCAACTGTACTTATCCGTACTTTTGATGAGTCCCATACTAGGACGAAACTACCATTCTGTGCTTCAAGGGTTCAAATGCGGATCTAACAATGATCGATTCGTTATTTCAATAAAAGACAACAACTCGATAATGAAAAATTATTCATTATTGTATGTTATAAGTGTGTATTCTGTAAGTTAAGATAACACTGATAGTCTAGTAAATCAATAAATTAAACGTCTAAATTCGATGTTTACTCAAAAACTCCTGTCTTGTGATAAGTATTCAAATATGTGAACACCATTTAAAGAGTTTACAGGCTGTAGACACATTAGTAATGATTCCCAAATGAATGATGCTCATATCTTAGACATTTTCTTCTGAGTAATTGTATTGTTTAACTTTCTGTGTCTAATGTAAAAGTGTACGCTATCGAAGTTTACCATATACCTCAGATAGAACACAAATAATATTATAATCGAAACTAAGCAATGAATCACGTTTACAAGTTACAAATAATCCTACATCATTAATGAACCAAACAGTGAAGTTCAATTCTATTCGGGTGTAGACAGTAACTATCGAAGACTGTGTATGAGGTTGCGCAACTCCGCGAATTGATCAAGTTAGACATTAACACCGTCAGGTACTGGCTCAGTGGTCCGATCGTTAGGCGTTCGCCTACAATACTGAAGGTCCTGGGTTCGAATCCTGCGGGGTACAAGAGTCGTGGATGTGAACTGACACTGATTAGTCCCATACCAGGAAGTAACAGTCGTCCATTGCTTACAGGTTCCTAATGGTGGTCTAACATTGATCGATTCATGGTTTCAAAAATTGTGTAACTTAACAATATTCACAATCCCGTAATGCAAAAGACTTGAACGAGTGAGAAAATTGACTACTTTTTAGTGACACATTGATGAAAGAAAGTTACAATTGCAAAAACTAAAATCATCACATAAATAATTGGAAGTGAACAACAAGAGGCATTATAACAGTGAATACAGTGAGTTCTACAACAAATATAAATAGTGCAGATCAGGTGTACTATGGAGTCATGTGAATGTTTGTAATCTAAATAGAATTCTAAATTAAAACATGTAAATTTGAATCGACACCAGTTCGTATTTACAATTGTAGCTACACCATTGTCACACTTTTTCTTATTGCTTGATGGATCTTGATGATAAATAGTGAAATCATACGGTGATTACACCATAATTACAATACGAATGATTTACCTAAGGAAGTTCAAAAACCGTGAATTTAAACCAATGGTATTCATAGGCTTTAGGATGTTGATGGCACATGAACCTGTTATTGATCTTAGGGACTGAATCTCCTAACGCTGCCCTACTGCATTACGAATTAGATCTCTGGGTCAAGAGCTCAGAAAGTGGCTCCCTAAACCAACCATTTATTTCGATTTGTGTACCTAGGTAACATTCTAGCCCACATGCACATCCAATAGTTTGAATGGCGCTTATTTGTTTTTTTAATGCCCCTATTTACCAATATTTATATCTTAACATAAATAAATAACTAACGTACTATGATCTTGCATACTTAGAAAATTGTTTAAAACCAGGTACACAGATCAGCCCACTCACACTGAGGTCTACACCAATCAAGCTAGATACTAATCAATAGTGTAAGATGGTATGTTAAACTATAATCGAAAACAATTATAATGATGCATGTACTAATCAGTTTTTGCTGATAACTTTGTGTACTTCTTAGTGTTAGCCAATTTGTTTTTTTTGGGGGGGGATTAAATGTGACCTTTTTTTAAATTCATTGTGAGAAAGGTCAACTATAAATGACTCACTATTGTCAAATAAAGTGTAGTCAATACATCTGTAAACAGGAAAAAAACTAAAACATTGGTTCAAATATTTACGTACCATGTATTGTTTGTTCCTCTGTCTCTCTCTCGCTTCATAGTTCATGCTTTAAATTTATTTTGTGTATACAACCTTTATTGTACTTTAAGCGTGTGCTATTATACTACTGCCTAGTTCAAACTGAACTAGAGGTAATAGAATTTGAACCTGAGATCTAACTGTGGAAAAACAGAAGTGCTGTAAATGCGAAGTCTGCTTCGTAATCATTCATCAATGAATATTAGCCAATGTTATGTCACTCTATCGTTGGCGCTTCTCAAAGTCAACAGATCACTTTAAGCTATAGCTATTGAACTAAGTGGTTTGACAGTATCATGTGTTTTTGTGTCCACGTCAGTTTCACTAGACATAAATTCCGACTGAAACAGTTCAATAATAACGCAACTGGACTGAATCTCATATGAAGTATTAGTCATCTAAAGATTACTGATAAGTGTCAACTAGCATTAAATCTAGTCTCAGGACTTACTGCGACAGCAGCGGTAGGTAACAGTTGACAAACATTCACACTTATCAAGGAAACCGGTATTAGAAATCCGATTGTTGGTGAGACTATCTCGGAAAAAGATAGGATGATTATTCATTCTCACTCTCGGAGATTGAATCAATGGTTAGAACATTTTAGGGAGCAGCTCAACTGTCCTCCAGTAACAGTTCGGTTAACCACGATCTCCAGTCAACCTGAATGACAAATTGATGTAAGTCCTTCGACTCTTAACGAAGTTGAAAAATCTATAGGAAATCTGAAGCGCGGCCTGACAAGCTTACCCCTGAGATTTTTAAGGATGGTGGTCAAGTTTTATTAGTTAGACTGACTAAGATCTGAGGTAGAATGTGGGAACTGGGCGTAATACCATTTGACTAGTCTCGATTTAAAAGAAAGGACAAAAGTCCCCTTGTGACAATCACAGTGGATTAAGTCTAACTAATATAGTATCTAAAATATTGGCCTCAGTAATACTCCGATGCTTAACTGAAGCCCGTGAAGAGCAGACTAGAGAAAACCAGGCTGGTTTCAGGCATTGACATGGCTGTATTGACCAGATATTCACATTACGTCAGGTCCTGGAACAAAGACATTCGTTCAGAAGCCCCACAATAGTTGTCTTATTGGACCTAAGGGCGGCATTTGACTCTGTCTATCGTGAGGTTCTGTAGCAGTGTCATTGAAAGGTGTACAAGAAAAGTACATTAACCTTATACGAGCGCTCTACCCGAACACTACAGGTCGAGTGAGAGCTTATGACGAACTGTCATCGGAATTCTTTACTTCAACTGGTGTCCATCAGGGCTGTCGACTTTCTCCATTCCTGTTTAACTTTGTCTTAGACATGCTTTTAGAATTAACATTATCATCTTCTGAATTTTGCGTAGACCTTGTACCAAGAAACACTCTTGCCAATTCAGAGTATGCCAATCACATAATCCTATTCGGTGAAGACGCTGACAAAAAGCAGTGTCTCCTGACTACCCTGAGCAACAGTGCAAGCATGTTCGATATGCGGTTTTCCCCCTCGAAATGCAAAATGTTGCTTCAAGATTGGCTTGTATCATCACCTGAACTAGTGATAGGGATTGAAGCAGCTGAGCGTGTAGACCGCTTCACTTTTCTCGGGAGTCCCATCAGTGCTGATGGCATGGTGACTGACGAAATCTCAGTTCGGCTACAGAAGGCTCGATTGGCTTTTGCCAACCTGCGTCACTTATGGCGCAGGCGAGATATCCGTTTGCTAACCAAAGGACGGGTTTAATGAGCACAGTTCGCTCCATCCTACTTTATGTCTATAAAACATAGCCAATAAGAGTAGAGGACATTCGTAGGCCAATGGTATTCGATCATCGGTGTCTCCGAAGCATTGCTCGTATGTACTGGGACAAGCGAGTAAGCAATGTTGGAGTGAGGAAAAGAGTACTAGGTAGGGATGGCAGACCAATAGATAAAGTATTGAAACCTCATCAGTTGAGTTGGTTGGTACATGTGGTACGTATGCCCAACCACCGACTGCCTCTGCGAGCTATGTTTTGTGGTGCAGGAGTGGGCTGGAAGAAAGTTAGGGGTGGCCAGTGGACTGGGCCATGTTGACAGATGTAGATTACCTGATTGGGATCCGCGAGATGATAGTAATCAATGGTTAGAAACCCTGAACGATGAGGTTCAAAATCGTGTACAATGACGCAGGTATATCCACTATTTATCTTCTTTCAAATTCTATCATACATCATTTTCTCTTTATAAACTGATCACACTGGGATATACTTTTCGTGTTTTGTCTTCGTTCCGTAACCTTTTTGACTATCGCTAATACTTCTACTACCTCTACTACTATAAGTTTTGAATCGACAATTCGACTTCTGTGTGCTCATGTGGTATGGCATCTTGAAATGATCTACGTATGTTTCAAGCTCTACGTTGTAGCTCACTTGACTGACAGGACTTACTACTGATTGCTTCTAGATTGTCTACTATAAATATCTCGCGCTCCAATTCAACTTTACTGAGTTTAACGTAAACTTACAAATATTGTAGTGAACGAGAACACAGGTGGGGCAACCGAACTGTATATAACGAAAATTACAGAGTTACTCAGTAAAATTGGAAAACCATATCGTAAATCGTTAATTTGCAAAATATCAGTTCATCATATCGAACTGTACTGTTCCTGTTGCAAAACATCAATCCATTGTCACTATTCATGCGTTTCATACAAATTCCATTGTTTTCTAACTCTTCCTTTCTTGATCTAACAGTTTCACAAAACGAGAGCATACTTATCTCAAGATTTTTGACCTTTGTAGATTTGATTTCAGAAGAAGTAAGCCTTAAGCACTAAGTTTGTCAAATAAGTTTAAAACTGTAACTATTTCTGATTCGTTAACACTTTATACTCTAGGACTAATTAGGTGTTTCTGTAAACACTTGATTCTTACTAGTCCTGTACTTTGTGTAGTAGTGACTTAGCATCAAAAACGTCTAACCTCTAACTATTAGGTTTCAAGTTTGTATGTCGTTTTAACTCTTTACGTATAAGCTGTTATGTAGCCTTAAAAAACTACACAAAATTCTGAATCAATAGAAATAAGTTGAATTAGTCGTTTTAACTAGTCTAGAATACTAAATTTACTAATAGGAGCAAAAAATAAATGATCTCTGTCCTATAAATGATTACGTGCATTTGCAATTTATTTGGCAAAACATATCAGAAACTGATGCATTAATCAGGATTTATAACTTTCTGTTATATTTTATAACTACTTAATTTTATTTAAGTAACATGATAACTTTCGTCAGTTTTTATCAAGTACTTAGTCCATCTGGTCGAAGACTGAATACGAGAGAAATGTGTGTCGTTTCTATTTAATTTGAAAATCTTCCGTATTATATACACCCAAGTATACAAATAAAAAATACTACTTTCTCGACGCAAGAAAAGCAGAATGTCATTCATCTTATTTGGAGTTCACTGATCTATATTCTTTAACAGGGGACTCCATTAAATATGCCTTTAGATGATTATGAACTGAGTACTGTTGAAAAATTGTTTAAGATAATTGATGAAATGGTATTTTGACAATTTCAAGACTTTAACATTTTTGATTCACCACATTTCTGATATAGATGTTCATGACTTGGTCTTAACATAATAACAACCAGACTATTAGGCACTCTCGTACGTTCTTCTGTAGACTCTAATCTTTGATGATAACATTCTATGGTTTGAAATGTTATTGACAGGCATGAAAATAAATAGATCAAATTTTAGAACATGCAGAAATGAACAGAATAATCACTTATAATTTTTTTGGGGACATTAGATACCCAGAACTCACTCGGAAAAGGTCTTAATTTTGCAATTTATTTTTGAAAGCTTTGATTTCTGTGTTTTCGCGCCAGAGACGCTTAGTTGACCTACAGCTTACGTTTCCCACTCAGAAATCCATGACTATAATTGACTGACGGATTTTTTAGTACTCTATTTTGTGGCTCTCCCAAGGGCGTTTTATCACTGTATAAATAAGCTTGAGTTGTGTGCTTAGAAACCTCATATTTCCTGAGTGCTTGTAGAATATATTCTCTATACCTTATCAAGACTTCTTGCCTTAGTTAGCGGGGCATGGGACAATCGGATTAGAATGGCGTGTCGTGTCACTGCATCATTTATCTGCGCTCCGTTTACCAAGTAAGATGGACTCGTAATAGCATTCAAGCATATCGATTGGCGAGCATATCAGACTTGTTCTACATCACCATACTTATCAGGTTTAACAACTCAAACGGTATAATCTTATGACAAAAAGTATAATTATGGTTTACAAACTATTCTAGCTAATAATAACCACTTCTTGATCATACTTATATGCTTTATGAGGGAATTCGGAATCGACAACAATGTCCTGATCACAATTAAAACGTTCATTAAGAATGCTCTGAAGTATTAGTTTTTGTCTCCCTTGTGAAACATTCCACCGCATCCGTTGTTATAACACAAGCGTGATATCATGTAAACACTGCATTATGTATTGTCTATTTCTACCAGTTGTATTATCATTGAAAATTTTGTTTTCCTGGATAATGTTCCGTTGATGGATGGGCCAAACGATTGAATTTACGCGAATAATAATCTTATATCCAATTGGTCATTTAGTAAACAAAATTGTAAATTTTATTAGCTCTTGTTTAAAAAGATCATATTTCATTGAAAAACACATGTCCTTGTGGGTGTGTACAGATTAGTTAGATGATGTATGGGCCTTCGTAATTTCAACCAATCAGATTATTATATTTGATCTGCGTTGTTTTAGACATGCACACCAAGGTCATACATCAGTCTATAATAACAATATGGTTTACACCAATTACTCACATTTAACAACGCATGCTTAGCTTTGTAGGCGAAGTATGGTAGCGAAGGATTTCATTGAGTTCTTCTCTAAATACAGTTATGGCAATCGTGTAGCCGTAGAAGATTTTGCGGATCGTCTAAATTTATTCACAGTTGTTTTATTCCTCCTATCATGTATAATTGTATCAACAAAACAATATTTTATGAGTTCGATCTCATGTTATATCCCGGTAAAACCAACGGGTGATAATTTTAATGCTTACCTTACGGATTATTGCTGGGTACATGGCACAATCCCTTTGAGGCCAGAAGAAAAATTACCTGATACTCGTGAACAATGGGATGAATATGATCGTTTAAGACGTATAAGTAAGCATGTAAATGATTTGTGGTTTATAAATTGTTTTGTCGAATTGTCTACGTGTAAATCATAATTTATTGCTTTATCACAAGCAGTTTCTGTGATTGCAGACAGATATCACACAAGTAAATCTCCACCGGTGTCTTATTAAAGTGACATGGATTGAGGAAACTGATCTTGAACTACACACTTTCGTTTTGGTATTAAGTCTCTAATTTTCTACATCAAATGACTTCAGTATCCAAGACTACAGCTGAAGTCAAATTAATGCAGATTAGGTTACTCTCTTAAAATTTAGATTCAGTGGTAAGTAACTCAGCTGTCTGATTACATTTTTTAAAGCATGTTTTAAGATACACCGACTTAACTTCCTTTCATGTGTTTTTTGGATTTCTACCTCAGGTATCCGCTATTAAGTGAGTGCTATTAATAGAAGACTATCTCTAGGGGACATAATATCTAAGCGTGTCATAGAACAAGAACATAAGTCTGTACCTGTCATCACACTAATGCAGTATGGTAACTTGAACTGACGTACGTACGTACGAAGTTCTACGTTGGAATTGACTGACTGACACTGTTCCGAGAACCCTCATATGCATCGGGTGCATCATATGACCTTCATCAAAACTGTCCACTGATTCCTTTTTTTCTAGAACATGCGCTTTGATTAACACTGAACATCCATCTTGTTTTGTTGACATGAACCTACTCCGACGAGCTTTCTTTTGTGGTGTAGGAGTAGGTTGGGAGAAAGTTAGGGGCAGCCAGACCAAAACATGACACAAATCTATGAAGTCATTGACAAGTAGACTGAGTCATGTTGGTAGATGTAGGTTACTTAGTTGGGGTCCGCGAGGCGTAAGTCACCGATAGTTAGAGACCTTGAACGACATGGCTCAAAATCGTTTGCAATGGCTCAGGTGCATCCACTCTTTGTGTTCTCTCAAGTCCTAATCTTCTGGATTCGTCAGCACCTCTAACTTTGTCTTTCCAAACTTTACCCACTGAACTATACTTAATGAGTATTATCTTCAAACCCTAGTCTTCTTCATTACCATTAATACCTCTACTATCTCTATCACTATGGAATTTGAATTGACAATTGCATCTCTGTGCTAATGTGGTATGGCAACGTGAACTGATGTACGTACGTACGAAGTTCTACGTTGTAACTGACTGACTTTGTCGACATGAACCGATCACTGAATGAGATCTTGTATATTTTTCAGTTGTTCATTCCTTTTAAGAAATTTTCATCTATTACTCTTAACTGAAAACCTCTTAACTCGTAATATCTTTACCACTCACTAATACTGTAACTTGATTAGAATAAAACCCATCATTACCGTAAAACAGGTTATTTTAACTTACTAATCAATTTTCAACACCTCATTTTGTCTAGATAACTTAATTCATCATTAATGCCATTTATACATTCACAACTCATTCATACATTATGTTCATAAATTTACCTGAACTATATTTTTTTGTCTCCTATTAACCAATTCAGTTGTATTGTTGTGTCAATAAAATGCTTTTAACTAAGCGAAGTAACAAGAGCTTTGTAATCACAATGTTTTGTTTAAGAGCCATTGCTTCGTATTTGTGGTCAGGGTGTCATATTTATTGATTATTCTTCAAAAAGCTCACAGAAATCGATTCGAGAGCAATACATTCAAATTTTTGGGATGCCATTCCATATTACTGACAAAATGTAAAAGATGTACTCAATTATTTAAATGTAGATTGACCTATACTACCTATTTTCTATCATATATGTCATAAGCATATCTACATCTGAACTGCAGAAGTGTTCGTAGGTTATTAACTTCCAGGGATCCTCTATCAGTCCGAGGCAGTTCTCATTACTAACTGACACGTTGCAGCACTTGTAAACTAGAAACTGCTATCGGGTCGACCTTGAACGAAATGTGTAAGTCAATTTTCGGTCACACATGTTTATCTGTTATCAAAAGTATTTTACTAGTTAACCATTGAAACCTGTATTCGTAAACTATATTTGTTAGTATATTATTGAAATCTCGCTACAGATATCTCAATCATGTGAACTCTTGTATTGGGCAAAATTCACTGTTATGAAACAACAGTACGAGAAAGTTATCTATGAAAACCCCTACCTCTGGGAATATTATCCTACATACAGGCTTTATTGTCCAGTGAACCACTAAAAAGTGGTTTGTTTAGGTTCTTAATAATAAATGATGGACAACGGACTCAATACTTTTTTATTTATGTACTTGTTACACGCAATCTTCAATGTAGAAAGTGATCTAGACAGTTTTATTTTCTAATTTCAATTATTTCGACATTAGTGTGACAAATCAATCGATGTTATATCAGCGATATCATTTCGTTCAAAATTGTTCGTTTTATGCTCTAGCTTCTATTCTCTGTCAAGCATTTTGTGTACATAGTTAGTCTTGTTACTAATCGATCAGATATTTGATTTATCCATGTGTTTGTTTTTCTTGTTTTGTTTTTATTTTGATAATTAAAATGGAACTACAATTTCGATGTGTGCAGAAAATGATCTACTTAACTAGTCTTTTTTTCTCTCTCTCTCTCTCGTATGTACATAGGCAGATATTATGAAACGAACTAAATACAAATTCATAGATTTTCACATTCATCTTTGCACTTAGTTGAATAAATAAGTCGTTTATCATTTTATGTCTTGTTCTGTGTTCAATTCACACATCCACATCATTTAAATATTCTGTTATACTAATCAGTCGTATTAATCGTAAAATCGATTGATTATGTGTCTCAGATTAATTTTTATGCTAATTTGAAATAATTACCATGATTTCTGAGTAGTTTGTGTAGTAAGTAGTAACAGAGTGCGAAAAACTCATAATTTATCTTGTTTGGGACTCGTCAGCTGGATATCCTTGTTGATGTCAATACTGAGACTCGAAACCATAACATAGCTCTTCAAATATTAATGCACTGTCCATAATTTACCTGTCGTAAAACATGTAACCGAAACGCGAAGTCAAGACTTTATGTACCAATTGAGACCTGTCAGTAGAAGTCCCAAATATGAGTAAAAAAAACCCACAAATTCTTACAGTTAGTCTTTATAGCGTTTAGTATTATACTGTAAAGTAAATTCGTTGGTTAACTGAATACTGAACAGTTATCGATCGGTTGTGTTTATCCATGAATTTATGGGATTTATGAACTCATAAAGCTTCGTGTCACTTACAGTTTGTCTTTTAACAATTTGGCAATTGTCATTCAAACTATTTTATAAGTCAAGGTAATAATGAAGTCAGCATTATGTTTATCTCACTCGACCAGATAAAACAGTTACAAAAAATAATCGTTTACCTAATTATGGAGACTCATTTTATTGTATATATATATATTTTACTTTACAGCTTATTATCAATGGGTCCCATTTGTTCTTGGTTTACAATGCATATTCTTCTACATTCCACATATTGCATGGCAAGCTGTATGTGCACATAGATCCGGTGGAGATTTGTTTGCTCTTGTAAAAGCTGCGGCAGATGCAGCAATATCTGAACGTGGTTCTCGTAAGAGTCAAGTTAAACGTGTAGCTGAATTTTTGGAAGACATGATTGATGGTCATAAAGATTGTCGACATGTAAGTTAATTGATTTATTATAAGACAATATAGCATCATTTATTGTTTATGGTGTTTATTTCGATCAATTCGATACTCCTGTTACCACTCATGGTACATAAGTGGCCTACCAGGACTCTCCAATCAGTTCTTTCCTGGGTTCCCTCATTTCCAGTTGTTCCCAGTTATTATTCAGTCTTTCCATATTTGCCCCCGGTTCTCGGTGCAGTCTGTTTTTCGGTTTTCTCCTTTGGTTTGAGGATTCCAACTTGGAGTTTGTTGCGGTTCAGTGATTTCTGTAATGCATGTTCTATTCACTACCAGTGCTTTTTCCTAACTTCTTCCTCAACTAGAATCCGGTTTGTTCTTTGCCACAGTAGCTTGTTGCTAGTAGCAGAGTGTGTGGTTTAAGTTGTCTCTCCTGGTTGGCATTTCTTACCAAGGTCCTTTTCCATGGGATGCAACTCGATTTTGAACCCTATTCTTTTAACCGGAGTTGAGACAATCAGAAATTCTTCTGATGAAGTCAACCATCTCGTTACCGATGAAAAATGTTTTACTTTATTTATTAATCAAACTAACAGGCTGCCAAGTTTATTTATCATTCATACATATGAAATGAACTTTTAGTCAGACATTCTATGTTGGTAAATAATCTTGTTTAAATGACCATTTTTAAAATTCACTTTAAAATATAGGAAAGTTGACAAATTGTCTAGTTTTTTTAAAATGGACATTCTATAAGAGAGTTAAATATTTGTTTATTGAATTCACTGCATATTTCATTTCAACATAAAAATCTAAGTTTACACTTATTTAATTTTACATTCATGGAATGTAGTATTAAATATTTTAAGTAATTCAAATTCGAAACTGCTCAGTTTCAGTTTTCCTGAATCGTTGAATATTATCAATACCACCAATTCAAGATGTGTACTTAATTACTGAATTTCATCTGAGTCCATTATGTGTTCATCAATTTGTTTAAATTATTCTGCAAGTAGTTTTTTGATTCGGTTTGTCAAAGCACCTACAAGGATGTTTTCGAAATGAGGGATCTACCGGTCAGTCAGTCAGTTACAATGTAGAACTTCGTACGTACGTACATCAGTTCAGGCTGCCATACCCCATTAGCACAGGGATGCAATTGAAAATAGTGGAGTGGAAGTATTCGCTGTTATGGAGAAGATTAGGGTTCGATAATATTATTCAAGAAGTATAATTCAGTAAAATCAATTCAAAAAGCGAGACAGAGGTTATGAGTAATCCAGAACATTAAAATTTGGAAGAAGGCATTGAATGGATGTATCTCCGTCGTTCCAAACGATTTTGAGTCAGGTCGTTTAAATTCTCTAACCATCGGTTACTATCGTCTCATGGACCCCAACCAGGTAGTTTACACCTACCAACATGGTTCAATTCATTTCTTAGTGACTTCATGGATTTGTACCATGTTTTGGTGTTCTACCCATTGATCCAATCTCCTGGGTCGAGAATGAATATTACGACCATCCCTTTCTGAGATAGTCCCACTTATGGTTGAATTCCAAATACCAGTTTCTTTACCAAGTCTGAATAGTTGGTTACTGTTGCCTATCGCGACTGCCTTTTCCATCTCTCTTGCTTACGCTACCCACCACTGTTCGCGATCATTGCGTAGGTCTTTTACCAGCCTGTGCCTAGGCCTGCTCTGCTCCTCATCATACTCAGCCGGACGAGATGAGTTTCCGAGCATCTTTCGAACTGGCAGATGCTACTTAGATCCATGGTTTCTCCCTGACCTTACGGTTTATTTTGCTGGCAGATATTACTGCTGCCTCCGTGGCTTTTTGGATGTTATTCCAAGCTACCTCGGAGTGGAAATCACCTGCACGAAGGCCTGACTGTTTTCCTAGGTGTTCCTGCAACATATTATTAGCTATGCTATCATCAAGTGGAACCCTAAGAGGTTTTCCTGCTGTCTTTCCGACGTCCAGTAAGCCGCAAGCAAATATACGCTCATACTAGGGCATGATCTGGATCTAAACATGTGCTACAGAATGAGCAGCAGTCTTCTACCGAGCCTCTCTGTCAGTCGTTGATAGCAATGTGATCTAGTTAGGTCCTGGATTTGGACTACTTCGGGCGCCTAACTTTTTGAAGGACGTCAGAGAGCTTTCTGTAAAATTCATCCTTTATCTCGTCCGAACTGTGGTCACGGAGTGTAGGTAGAGACGACGAAAAGGCAACGACGAGTGTCCCTATTTTTACGAGTTCTTACTTTCCAGCTCCGTCATCTAGTAATATGCCATCCCTACCTAGTACTCGTTACCTTACTCCAGCATTGCTTTCTCGGCTGTCCCAGGATATACGAGCAATGTTTCGAAGACATCTATAATCGAATACTAATAATTTTCGAATGTCCTCTACACTTACCGGCCATCAGCACTTATGGGACTCCCGAGATAAGTGAAGCAGTCGACACGTTCGAATACTTCACTCCCTATCGCTAGTTCAGGTGACGATGCAAGCCAATCCTAAAGCAACATTTTGCATTTCGAGGGTGAGAACCGCATCCCGAACATGCTTGCATTGTTGCTTAGGATAGTCAGAATGCATTTTATCAACGTCTTCACCAGATAGGACTATGTCATCGGCATATTCTAAGTCAGCCAGCGTGTCTCCTGGTTGAAGGTCCACACCTGTTAAGTCAGGTGAAGATAATTTTAACTCTAAAAGCATGTCTATAACAAAGTTAAACAGGAATGGAGAGAGTCGAGTAGAGCTCTTATATAAGGTTAATGTACTTCTTTGCTACACCTTTTGATGACAGATACTGCCACAGAAAGTAACGATCGACAGAGCCGAGCGCCGCTTTAAGGTTGAGACATACTACTACTGTGGGGCGTCTGAACGTGTAACTTTGTTCTAGGTCCTGATGTAGTGTTAACATCTGGTTTATACATGCACGTGCAGGTCTGAAGCAAGCCTGGTTTTCTCTAGTCTGCTCCTCACGAGCTTCCGTATTATTGAGGTCAATATTTTCGACACTATATTGGTTAAACTAATTCCTCTGTGACTGTCACAGGGGGACTTATGTCCTCTCTTTTGAATTGGGACAATCAGTGATTGAGACCAGTGGGGTGGGATTACGTCTCAGGGGTCAGTCTATCAGGCCCTGCTGTTCTCGTTTCAGATTTCCCGTAGCTTTCTCAACTTCATAAAGACTGCGTAAACTTGCCATTCAGGTTGACTGGAGATCGTGGTTAACCGAACTGTGGCTGGAAGGCAGTTGAGCTGATCCCTAAAATGTTCTACCCATCGATCCGATCTCCTGGATTGAGAATGAATGATACAGCCATCCTTTTCTGAGAATGTTTCGCTAACAGATGGGTTTCTAATAACGGTTTCCTTGATAGGTCGGAACAACTGTTTGCTGTTGCCTATTGCCGCTGCTTTTTCCATCGCTCTTGCTTTTGCTACCCACCACTGTTCTCAATCATTGCATAGGCTTTTTATCAGCCTGCGCCTAATCTGACTTCGCTATTCATCATGTTCAGAGACAATTGGGATGAGTTTACGAGCGTCTATCATTTCGGTGGATGCTACTGAGATCTACTATCTCTTCCTAACCTTATGGTTTACTTTACTAGCAGATATCACTGCTGTTCCCACAGCTATTTATATATCATTCTAAGCTACCTTCGGATGGGAATCACTTACATGGTTGCCTAACTTTGTTATTCTAGTTGTTCCTGAAATATATTCGTAGCTCTGGTATCATTAGGTAGAACCCTAATAGGTTTCCTCGCGGTGTATTTCCTACGTCCGGTCAGTCGCAAACAGATACCCGCTCGCACTAGGGCATGATCTGAATCTAAACATGTGCCCCAGAACGAGCGACTGTCCTCAATCGAACCCCTCCATGAGTGGCTGATGGCTATGAGATCTAGTTGGACCCAGCGTTGTGACGATTTCGGGGGTCGCTAGGTCAAAAGATGCTTCTTCTTATGCCTAAAGTTAGTATTTGCTAGGCGGTTATCTGAGCATAGTTGCAGCAGACGGTCACCATTATCTGTTCGATTAGCCATTAGATCAACTCAGTTGTCTTACCATTTTTACTTACTCTACCTACTTGAGCATTAAAGTCACCAGCCAGTTTTACTAAGTCAAAGCGACTTACTTTTTGAAAAAGGTGAGAAAGTTTTCGGTAAAATTCATATTTTACCTCAACTGCGCTGCAGTCGATGGGAGCGTAGGTAGGGACGAGAAAAAAGCCATAGCGAGGTCCCTATCTTTACGAGTTCTTACTTTCCCGTTAAGTTGGACAGCGCTCGAGCGACTGTCTACTGGGATCCAGTCTAGGAGAGCTAGTTTTTCCCTAGGATTCAGTGCTACACCTACACCAGCAAGATCCGGGGAAGCAGAATCAGGGCTTCGAGATACATAAAGAGTAAATCGAGATGCTCCTTTATTTTTACATAGTGAGGTAAAGTGAATGATGCTACTCGGATCCTGTATGCGTATTTCCGAGACCCAGCATACATCTTTGGCGCGAGATCCTAATGTTCTAGCTAAGAAAGCCTGTTTCCCTATTTGACACAATGTCCGTACATTATAAGCTCCAACATAAGAATGTGAAGATAAAGGCGATGGTAATGGGTGTAGGGAGGATTTGATTGTGACCGATTCGGTCTCTTGAGCTGGTACTGGTATGAGGGCGGATGTCACTCCCCGGCTGCCCACACTGTGGAAGGATGCTCCTTGAGGGACCTGAAAAGGAAGTTAGGTTAGTGTCGGTCTTAAAGACCTGGGAGAGCGACCGCAGAGCCCAAAGAACAACTACTTGAGGCCCGTTACGCACGGCCTTTTTATGAGAAGTTAAGGAAGCTTGTCCTATTTGACCACGACTAACACGAAGTGTAATATTCATTCATGTTTAATTAAGGTTTTTCTGACAAGTGTCATCAAGGTCAAAAGTTAACATACGGTTTATGTGGTACAAATAGTAACAACTTGAATTAAAACACATGTCATTTTTTCACATTGCTTATAACCTACTAATTTACTATCTGCAAATTCGTGTACCAAACTATGAGACATTTTCGTTTACGGGCCGTTGATATTAGCAAACTGCTTTAACTGATGTAGGTAGGACAGAGATCGTACCTGCAATCGAATGCTTTGAAGTTAAACAATAGCAATGTTGTAACTGTTGTCTTAAAAAACCTAAATAATTAACAGTCCCTACACCATTGTTTTCGTGTGCTGTTACGGGTATGAGGGTGGTTGTCACTTCCCGGCTGCCCACACCGTATAAGGTTGTTTCTTGAGGGACCTGAAAAAGAAAATAGGTTAGTGTTGGTCTTAGAGACCTGGTAGCGAGACCTCAGAGTCCAAGGGACAACTGCTTGAGGCCGGTCACGCACGACCTTTTTATGAAGGGTTTTTCGACTATTAGCTCCGCTCTTAAAGGCCCTTAGTGGACACCCTTACCGATGGAGACGGAAATCCGTGAGGTAGGATAAGGTGTGACATTTTTAGGGTCGACATTTTCTAACCCTTCCTTCCTTCCTTTCTTGTGAGAAGGCAGCATTGCTGCAGATGCTGGTTGTCCGAGGGAAACATCTTACTGCTGTCACATCCCTCTGCCGTCAGCAGTACGACTTCTCCCTCAGACCTTGGGTAGCTGATTTTAGTCTGATCGTTCTCCAATCGACCTGTCTGGCATGGTAGAACCTTCAGGAACACAAGTTCCAGACAATATAACTCGGTTGGGTGATCACGATAAGCAAGCCCGACCACCACTTCAAGATAGCAGCTACGGTCGGAACACCACTGTTTTCGCAAATCATATTACATAGTTAACCGTAACGACGGATGAAATGATTATAGCAGAGGAGATTGTAACTTTTCAATAAGCAGAATATAATAGTGAACTATGAAGTAGGTAGGTTTTTGTCTATGAGATTAACCTTCTTTCGAATTAAAATCTCTGTTATTTTTATGATGACCACTCGGTATCGGGAATTACTGTAATATGCTTATGACATGTTCACGTTTATATACAATGATCTTTTTTCTCGTTTGTATGCAACAACAGTCAACAAGTTTAACAACTCCTTGTAATTCTGTTACAGTTGTAAAAAATTTATATAAAATATTCGTTGATAGGAAAGCTCTATACATTATTCTTGAATAGAATTGCCAAATATCCATTCTAATTTTTTTTAAATTTCAAATCAGCAAATCAATCGTGGGATTTGTAATCATTTTTTTTTAAGATAAGTCACTTTCAACTATTCTTTTTTAAACGATAATGTTTTTATCATAGATAATTTTAGTCCTTTGTTGTAAACTATACTAAGTCTTACAATCTTGCTTGTTTCTCTCTCTCCCTTTTCAAACACACACCTTATAGGGTCGTCGAATGAATTTAACTAGACGTGCCTATGATATGTGTGGAATATGTGTAGTTAGTAAACGACTTGGAACATGTCTTGTATTTTCATATTTCTGTGTTAAACTCATCACAATTATTAATGCAATTATGCAAGTCTATTTAATTCAACGTTTTCTTGGCTTCTATGCTGATGGAAGTGCTGGACAGAAAAGTATGCAATTAGGAAAGTCATATGATGCTAATTCAGCAGGTAAACAAAATTGAATTGATTTTACATTATTCAGCTTTCATCTTAACTAAAATTACATGTTAACTTTTTTTTACAGGCTCTTTACTCGAACACTACTGAACACACAAGTCAGAGTTTATGGTTGAATTGTCATCAGAATTGGATTTACTTCAAGTAGTGTTCGCCATGGTTGTCCAGTTTCTCCATTCTTATTTAACAACTTTGTCATTGAAATGCTTTTAGAGAAATAACACTTTCATCGTTTGACTTTTCAGGAGTTGAACTTTTTCCAAGAGATTCGTTTGTTGACTTAGACTATGCTGATAAAATGCAGTCTTCTGAACGAACATCTTAATCAACAATACAAGGATGTTTGGGATGCGAACTTTCCCTCTCGAAATGCAAAATATTGCTCCAGGTTTTTTTGACTCAAAATCTGACTTCATTAATGACCACTAAGAATAGAGGATATTCACAGGTTACTAGTATATTTGATCATAGGTGTCTTCAAAGCATTGCTTGTTTAGCCTGTAACCATCGAGTAAGCAGTAATGGTGTTAGAAAAAGGATAGAGATGACAGACGAAGTAGTGATTGAGGTGCTTTGGACATGTGTTACGTATGTCTAACCACCGACTGCCTCAACGAGCAGTGTTGTCTAATGTAGTGTTAGGCTGTTTATTTCTTAACATTAGCTAGCTACCAACCGTCTTAAAACACTGACTTGGGTGGTTTGGGTGCGTTCTGAAAATGGTATCCCGGCAGTTCCCATAATGTACATTATTTTCTGATACTGATTGAACTGTATCTCCTACTATACACGATTCTTTGTTACATTTAGCCAACCACGGTTAATCAATAAACTTCCTTTCACTAGTGTTTGATTGTACTCATGTATAAGAAGATTATATTTATTAGTAGCATCTTTCGGATGCCTATGTTGAAATTTCGTGATTTCGATTCCTTTTCGTTTACTGTATTCAAAGTGATCTCTCAGCCACTGAGATCATGAACCTTTACCGTCTCATAAATGCTAAACTTTGGATCACTGATTAGCAGTACTCCAATTGGATACCACAACCCATAAAGAATACACCCTAATATTTAAACTAATCGCCACCACAATTGTTTTCAACTAGATTTTATATCTGCATTGTTTCACTTGATATCTTTGAGCAATTGTAATTAACATAAAGTTAGGCCTAAACGTGTGTCAGTTCCAGTTACCACAGTGTATTAGTTCAAAGAAGTGAGATCAACAAGATGGATAGCAAAAGAGATCGAAATAATGCAGCAGCAGTGAGAAAAGAAATTATGTACGGAGAATACGCTTTAAAAAGACAGGATATTGAAACTCACGATCTACAATAGGATATGATAAGCAGTAAATACATGTGTACCATTGTGACCGATTATAATCCAGCCATCTCAGCCACCTAATACAAACATTGATCACGTTTATTACACGGATCTCAACGAGGCAATAAAATCGATATCAGTGAATGAACACATTATTATTACGTACAGCATATCCTAACCAACTTAGTAGATAAAGATCTACAACTTCATCGGTTGATAATACCATCGTCACTTAGTATCTTATGCCTAACCTCAACACTGCTCACTGAATCGTTTCACTTTAGCAAACTATGTTTTAACAACACCCATAATCAAAGGCCTTTAGCCTTTTTATCGACCATGATAAACAGTTATAGAGCAATACAGAAAGAATCGCTGTGCAGTATTCTCACTCTTCAGTCGGCGAACAGATATCTGTCCGACGTCACAAATAACTCTAGTTGACAACAAAGGCCAATCCATATTTTTAAATCTGTCGAAATTTCATCAGACACTAACTTGTTGTCACACAGTTGAAGAATTTTCTTTTAATTTAAATGCAGTAATCGATACTCCATTAATTAATCAATAAGTCATTTTCCATCTTATTTCTATTCCTTCTAGTTGCAGCTATGTCCAATCAAGAAAATGAAGATTTAGAAGGTTTCGGATTTGGTTTAACCGTTGCAAATCATATCCGAGCTGGACGTGATTGGCCTGAGACAATTCTATTTCCACGTGTAGCTTATTGTCGTGTTCCAGGTATACGTTTGGTCGGTGCTGAAAATGCTTATACAGCACAATGTGCCTTACCGATAAATATGTTGAATGAGAAAATTTATATATTTTTCTGGTTTTGGATTTGTTTCCTTATTGCTGCAAGTATATTTAGTTTAATATTATGGCTAGTAAGAATGGTAATTGCACCGAGACGTAAAGATTTTATCAAACGTTTCTTGCGTATCAAGGGTATACGTTCAAGAAATGGTCAAGAGATAACACGTGCTGATTTAGATGAATTCATTGATGATTACCTACGTCGTGATGGTGTCTTCTTAGTACGTATGCTAGCTATCAATGCTGGTGATGTAATTACATCGGAAATTGTTATGGCATTATATGAACATTACATAGATAATGTTTATTCAATGGATAATACACCACAGAAAAGTTTAGAGAAAGAACCATTAAAAGATGGTTCGGGTATACCATCGAATTATGTGTAAAAAAAAATTTTGGTTTGTTAAAATAAATCTTTACTCTTTACTCTTTACTCTCTCTCTCTAATCCAAACAACTAATGCTCATCAGAGAGAGAGAGAGAGTGTAGCACAATAGCAGTATTACAAATTAATAGTATTTTTAAACGAAACCAATAACTAAAAAATATTGATTTCAAATGCCTTACTTTTATATAATGATTTTTTTTCTAGCTTTTTACTACAATTGTTATTATTATTCATTCCTGTTTAGTAAATAAATACTGTAATGGACAATTTTTTTAAAAAAAATCTAAACAGTATGTGTACTTGATATGAAACCAATATGTTTTAAAATTTTGTGGCCTATCGCCTCTTTTTATGATAAATTTTTTGTACTACTACTAATACTACTACCACCCACAACAACATTGTACTACTTTTTTACTGCTTTTTATTATTATTATTACTATTGTTATTCTTAAGATATTCCATTCTTTTATCGTTCGTTCTCGTATGTGCTTGCCTATTTTTTTTTAATTCAACTAACCATTGTTGATTGTACTATGTGAAAATTGATTATGACGCTGAAAAGCAAAAAAAAATAAATTTTTTTACACTTTTTTTATGTGAAATTCATCAAAAAATAATAATAATAATAAATGAATCTGTTCAGGTTTTATTTAGATGTTTGGTTGTTTGTTCTTTTATTTTCGTTTTTCGAAAAAAAAAAGTAATTGAAGCTGGTGTAAAACTTGTGTCTTTTTTTGCGTGTGTGTGTGTGTGTGTATGAAACAAATTATTGAGAGTTATGTATATTTTTGAAACCATGAATCGATCAATGTTAGACCACCATTAGAAACCTGGAAGCACTGAAAGACGGCCGTTTCGTCCTGGTATGGGACTCCTCATGGTTTCAAAAATGTGTAACTTAACAATCTTCACAACCCCTGTAATGAAAATTACCTGTGCTCACTAGTGACTAGCTGCGTGAGGAATCTTCTCCGAGTTCTAGTGGGAAAACGTGACCAGTGAAGTTCAACCTGTTCAGGTGTAGACAGCGACTACTACCGAAGACTGTGTATGAGGTTGCGCAACTCCGTGAATAAGATCAAGTTAGACAATAACACCGTTAGATACCGGCCCAGTGGTCTATCGGTTAGGGCGTTCGCGCACAATACCGAAGGTCCTGGGTTCGAATCCTGCGGGGTGCAGGAGTCGTGGATGCGCACTGCTGAGGAGTTCCATACCAGGACGAGACGGCCGTCCAGTGCTTCCAGGTTTCTAATGGTGGTCTAACATTGATCGATTCATGGTTTCAAAAATGTGTAACTTAACAATCTTCACAACCCCTGTAATGGTTACGTGTATGTTCTTCGATCTGGTTGGATCTCTGGTATTTTTATAATTTTGAGTCAATCATACATGTGAATTCTAATTGTTAGTAGTAGTATATCCAATCACTATGAGTGAGATAATACTTTTTTTCTTTATAGTATTTATTCCTCGATGTTTGGTTTTGTGTGGAGTTTATGAGTCTAGCATACCTTGAACATATATATGTCACCTGTCTTCCATAATTGTAGTGCTCCACAAAAGATAAAATCCTGTGAGTAGTGTTTTCTAAGATAATTATCGATCCATTTTGTTAACAGTTTAGTAATCCTAGATAAGTTTAATGTTAATCTTGAATAAAAATTGTTATCGTGTTAGTAGAAATTAGTGACAGTCCTAATTTTCATTCAGTTCTATTCTAGACAATCCATACAAGCAGTAGTAGTTGCCAGTAGATCTATCCGTACAACATAGTAATATCTCCGAGATCATCATACGGATGTATGATTATTGTCGATCATCCCAGAAGCACATGGTTATTCTTATCATGGAAGGTGACAGTCAATAATTCAAGCTGATGATGATAGTCTATACTTGTGTAGGTGTAGTGTGTCTGTGACCTCCTTGTCAAGATTTGAACGTTTAACACTACACAGGATACTCTGCTCAAATTTGTTACCAGTGTTAATAATCCTAACATATTCCTTTACTAAACAATCGAAATAACATCGTCAACATTACGATAAACTATGGATTCTTCATCTCATGATAACATTCGAATGCGTTTTGTTTGCATGTTTGGTGAAGGTTTATTTGAAACATCAATCCATGAAATTATTGACAGTTGAACTGACTCGTGTTAGCAAGTTTAGACTACCTAACTAGAATCCACTTGATTGTCTTAACCAATGTGGCTCAAAATTAGCCTCACTAGCTCAGATTCGTTTAATTTCGTGCTTTACTGAGGTTTTAAAACCGAACTTTTTATTTTATGGTATCATTCTCGAATTATATTCCATCACTGTTATTACTTCTTCTGATCGAACAAATTTTAATCTTAATATTGTTATCGCAATCTATTGATTTGTTTAAGAAACCTGAATTGATCCGTATAGATACTGGATTCACTGTTACTTATATCTAGCTGATATTTTTTCATTGAACTAATGAATCGACCATTGTTACATAGGTGAGGTTGCACAATACCTTGAACTGATAAAATTTAGACAACACAACTGAATGTCTGCTCAATGGTCAAGAGGTTGAGTATTCGCGCGTGAGATCGAAACTCCTGAGCTCGGTTTCGGCGAGCGGGTTTCATTGGATGGGCACCACTGGTGAGTTCCATACTAGAATGTTGAAACGGCAGTCCAGGTTTCTAATGGTGGTCTAACATGGATCGATTCATTCTTTCATTGAAACAAACACAATCTGAATAACTCAATTATTAAAACGATATCTTTATAACGACTATGTTTTCGAGTTCTACTTATATAATGGTACCATTTAAGGATTCATTCTGATAAAATCGAAGATTATTATTATTATCATCATTATTATTTAAAATTACTAGTCTACTTTAGGTGTAAATTCATGTAATTCATCATCTGTATTATATTATTTTATCAAATCCCATATATATCAATATCAGTCACATGATATATAATGATTATTGAACATTTGAAATTCAAATCCATAGATTAATTCAAATATATATATATATATATATATATATATATATATATATATATATATCTGTAATTAATTATCATCATCAATAATGTGCACAATTATTAAGTTCATAATAAAAAAATTCATGGTCATTTCCATTTCGAAATATTTCACACTGATTGATGATCGTAAATTCTACTACACTTTATTCAATTTTGTCAAATTGTAAAAGTTGTTTTTTCATTCTCCCTAAATTATTATAACATATTGACTTATCTATCTATTCAATCAGTAATGCATCAGTTCACGATACTATTATGCTTGTCAATTGATATGCTCGAAACTATTACGCGTTAACCTAAGTCGGTAAACGAGAGCGAAGACAAATGATCCAGTGATACGCTAGGCCACTCTAATCCGAGCGTCCCAAGGCCCGCACACTAAGTAGATGAAGAAGTCTTGATATGGCGTAGAAAGTATATTCTACAAGCACACAAATCTAGTTTATTTATGCATGATAGAAACGTCCTTGGTGAGAGCCACATAAATAGCGTACTAAAATAAATACATCAACCAATAACAGTCAAGGATTTCCCGGGTGGGAAATGTAATCTCAGGGTGAAGTGATCACCTCATGCTTGTAAACATGAGATCCAAATTTAGAGCCTTTATCGAGTGAGTCCTGAGGATCTAACGTCCTCAACAGATGAAATACAGATTTGAAATTCACATCTATGTTTCATTCCATTAACTAACTAGTTTTAAGATGGGTTTTAAGAAACTGTAGAATAGTATTGGATGATTTTAGTTATAAAGAAATATATTGATAATTAGGGATTTTTAATCTAGTCCTATTATTCTTAACAATAAATAAACTCTATCAGTCTAAGAAAGTACATAAGCTTCTTTCTATTCAAACCATAAAATATCAATCTTTGTATTTCACTAATTACTATTTACATCATATGACTGATGTGAATTTTCTGCACTATTGTGTGATATTTTACAACCTAGTTGTGTGTACTAGATTCATCTTGTAGATTACTCGCTGACGATCAACTTGGAGAGTAATTCATGCGGCTCCTGGAAAACCGATGCGTGATAGCCATCACCAACAACGTTAACTACTCATCGTATCCAATAGTGATTTGATCAAGATTGTGAAATGAATGCCAACTAAGTAATTGTCTTGTTCAATTCTTGTAGGTGTTGTGATGAAAATATATACTAATAAAGAATTCAAGACTAGTGTGAAATAATTTTTAAATATCGATGGATAGTGTTTTTTTCAATGGAATCCAACTCAGTAATTCTATACTTAGTTCTTTTTATTATCTTGAATAAAACAAAAACTAAGATTATTGCAGAATAATACGAATAACAAGGTTCAATAAATTCATGAGATGGTGGCGAAAACTTGTACTTCGTAGTTGATTGTTCTTTTGAACAATGAAAGCTTCACAACTAAAATATATCCAGTTTAGTGAACAAAACTCCACCAAAAATTAAATTCACGTTGTTTTGCACAAATCTTTGTCTGTTCTCTTCACTGGTTCTACGGTTTTGTCACTAAAATTATTTTCATGTCTACAACAACAATACTAACATTTCTCGTGTATTTAAACATTCAGACCGGGCGTTGTTTTGCTTTGTTTAAAACCCATTAAAGAAAATGACTACCCAATGATGAATCAGCCATTGACGGCTGACTGACCTGCAGTAACAACATGACCTTTGAACTTATTTCAAGATTCAACGCTGTATTTTACCTTTGTCTTTGTATGAATTCTGAATTGCACCAATCATTATGAGAGAATATGATTTGTTGTCAACAGTCTTTTAAACTTTTATTGATGAGACAGATGTTTTTTCGTACTAAACATTTTGGACACTTAGATTAAAATAATCGGAGGTTATGGGACATGTGCCTAGATGGTTTCAAAATCTGTTCCCGTCAAATGACCCAATAAACGTGGGAAATACAAAACTATATTCGCTCAAGACCGAAGGTCCTGGATCCGAATCCCGCGAGGTGCAGGAGTCGTTGATGCGCTCTGTTGATGAGTCCGATACTAGGACGAAAAGGCCGTCCTTCAGTGCTTCCTGGTTTCTAATGGTGGTCTAACACTGATCGATTCTTGATTTCAATTGTGTAACTTAACAATCTTCACAACCTCGTAATGCAAAGGCATATTCATCCATATTAAAATACTTGATTCGTATTTTTTGCATAAGAGGACAAGATTCGGAGTTTAAAATCCCCTGTCTTGAACCAATGAACTTAAACGTTGTTTATAAGTCAAATACTTTCAAAATGTTTCATTTGGTGAATCGTAAGAGTAATTTTATCTGATTAATGAAGTCATAGACAGACAGACAGATGCAACACAGAACTTCGTACATAAGTACATCAGTTCAGGTTGCCATACCACAACATCAGCACAGAGACGTAACTGTCAGTTCAAATCCAAGAGTGATAGCGATAGCAGAATTATTAGCAGCAATAGAGAAGATTAGGGAGCAAAAATATGATTCGAAAAGTATAATGCAGTGAAATAAATTTAGAAGGAGAAAGATAGAGAGTATGAGGAATTCAGAAGGTTAGAATTAAAAAGCACACAAAGAGTGGATGCACCTGCGCCATTGCAAACGATTCTGAGCCATGTCATTCAAGGTCTCTAACCATCGATTATTATCATCTCGCGGACCCCAACCAGATAGTAGACAACTATCGACATGACTCA